AACTTGTACCAGTTTTTTAACAAATTTTAACCCACCACTAATTCACCCTTTTTTTTAAAAAAAAAAAAAAAAAACAAAAAAATTTTTTTTTTTTTTTTTAATTTTAAAAAAAAAAAAAAAAAAAAAAAAAAAAAAAAAAAAAAAGACAAGTAAAGCTCTTACATATTGGTTACTACAGCAGGTAAACGTGGGCGGGGAAGTGATTAGGTGTGTGTTATTTTGTGAAAGTGAATGAGTGGGAACGGATGGAATGAATTATGCTGACAATGGACCGATGTAAACGCAATGTTGATGGAAAAAAGCTATGTTGCTGTAAATGGAGCTATGCTGTTTTTTGGTAGTCGCTAGCTCGGTTGAAAGTTATTGTCAAGGTGAGAGTTTACAGACGTCCAAGTTAAAAGCAACTGCTGCAGCAGAATGCCTGACCATTAAGGTACCTGGCAGGTGTTGGGGAGGGAGGAGGGACCTGCCTTCTTTTCCTTCCTTATCTTATCAGTCCCGGCCTACTGGAGTGCACCTGCCATCTGAACTGGTGGTACATAGGTTACTTTTAGGTAGGATCTTTTAACAAAATAAAAATAACATGGCTCTGTGGTGTAATTGGTAGCACGCGGGTGGAACACCACGTACCTGACAGCAAGTGCTAGAGATGGTTACCAGTCTCCATGCTGAAGTCCAGGTTCAAATCCTGGCAGAGTCTCTTTTTTTTGACAACCCTTTTTCATTACTAACTCAAACAAATATTTATCCTATCAATAATTGATCGTCCATGCTTTCAACAAGTTTGATTCTATTGATTACCAAAGCACTAATGAAGAAACAAAACCGCCTTCCCCTATTTCCTCTTTGTTCCCCAGTTCATGTATTTTCTCCTCGGTTGCTCTCTTGATAGCCACCTTGCTTGAGTAGAATCCCCCAATGTAGCCGAGCTATTGCTCGGAACATTTTCACCATTCCCAATAAGTAACCCATTATATGTTCAACTTACTCTTCAAGAAAAGCCTAACCATTTCCACAAGAATCCATTGGCAATATTTACCAGCTTTCTATACGCCAAGTCTAGATCATAGATATATTGTGTGTTAGTATCAAACGAGGGCATTTCCATCCCCACCCCCACACACTGACACAAGCACAAGCAATCCCCATTGTATTTCCTGGAAACCCTTCAAGTGTTGAATCATGCTCCCCCAATGAAATCTCACACTGTAAAATGCAAGCATGTTGAGATAAGAAGAAGAAAAACGATGAGAGATTACAAAAAGAAAAAGAACATTGAATGCCCAATGACAGGATTGAACTGTTGACCTTCACATTTGAATTACCAAATATGATTTCTCACAGAAAGAAACGCTATTAGTACGACGCTCTAACCAGCTGAGCTAATCGGGCAGATGTTGATTAAAATATGAATTGGGACTGTGATAATGGTGGCAGAACTAGGTTAAAGATTGGGTTGTCAATATGTACTGGATGCAAACACCTTTTGCTTCTTTCTTACATTGCTCAAATTTCAAACCAAAACATCAATCCTTCAACTTCCATAATAAATCTTTTTGTATACATACACAACAACCAAACCACACCCACTTCTTTATATCTGATACTATGTAATTTGCCACACTCACAACTCATCAACCACATGTCCCGTAGGTTCAACCCTCTCCTCCTCAAACCTCCTCGACTTACTATTCCCCTCAACCCCAATCTTACCTTTCCCTTCCCTCCTCCTCCTCGCCAACCCATCAATCTCCTCATCATACTCACTCCACTCCGGCACCTGTCTCCTCGCCCTATCCAACTTCGGTTCCTTCGTCTGCGGATTATTACACAAATCAATCGTCCTCGCCTCCTTCAAAGTCTCATCACTGCACCAAGTCTCACACCACAGCCACTGCTGAGGCAGACTCTTAATCGGAATCTGAAACTGCATATGATTCGGCAAATCCTGATCCAAATTCGCCAGCGAGTTCGGATCAGCAGAAAGCGTATGATACTGCTGTCTCAGCCTATCACCCGCGGCCATCTCTCTAAATCTCTTTAAATCAACCACATAAAGAGCCGAAATGTGATAGGGTTTGCCCCGGAGGTAATTAGCCCAGTATCCAGTCTTCCAAAACCGGAAACCTTCCATTTCAGTTCGGGAATCACACATGGGAGTGAACCCGTAGGGAGCTCCTTCAAGGTCAAAATTGACGAGGTCGTACATGTCCGTGCGGACGATTTGATCAGCGTCGACAAAGATGACCTTGTCCAGACTCAAAGGGAAGAGCACATCAAGGAAGAGAATCTTGTAACCCCAGATTTCTCTTTGTTTTTCTTTTTGCTGACGAAGCCAATGAGGCCACTTGTATGTGACCATCTCGTACTGGAATCCGTATTCCTCTGCCATGGTAGGGATGAAGTCCTTGAATGAAGGCGACAAAAACTGTTCAATGAACCAGAACTTGACAGTGTGGTTTGTGTGTTTCATCACGGAAACCATCATGATATTCAACATTCGCTCGTAGAGGTGGCCCGAGGCAACGGAAAAGATGTTGATGTCTGCGTTTTTAGGGGCAGCAACGTCGGCAGTGGCAGATTTCTTTCCGAACATGCCTTCGGCGAATTTGAGACCCTGCTTGAAGAGTTCCTTTGCCGCACCGCCTGCGGTGGAAGGTTCGGAGGACTCGCCAAGGACGTCCTCCTCTTCCATACCTGGCTTGCGGACAAGACGTGGGTAGAGAGTTGTTCCTTGGAAGTCCATGAGGACGGCCTCGTGCGTCTCGTCACCTGGAACGGCATTCCACCCCTTAGCTCCCACGCTAACCATGCTGAAGATGTCTGAACTCCTGCCTTCTTTGAGCTGGATGTTGTAGACACCCGGGTTGGCCTTGAACTGGAAAAAGCCGAGGTTGGCCATGATGATTGTGTCGGCAAAGTGGGGATTGTTTTCAGTGCCAAGAACGAGCTGGGCACCCTTGGGTGGTGATCCGCCGGGAATCTCGCGTGAGTGGCCTTCGATGAGAATGTGTTCAAGCTCGTAAATAGCCTCCACCTGGTCGGTGCCTCTCTTGGCCTTGATATCTTTGATTCGGAGGTTGTCGAGATCGTCAACGGAGACCTTGGAGGTTACAAGCCAAGCAGGCGGTACATCCATGGCGGCAACGAGAAGTGTGTCTCGGGGAATACCGACAAAGTTGGCTGAGAGAGACTTGACCTTTCCTGACTCATCGAAGCTCGGGGCGGATTCGAGTGCATAGCGATAGAATCTCTTGACTGGCAGCTCAGAGATATCTGCAGCGGGGTTCAGGAATACCTGAAGATGCACGCCCTCGAGCTCAGAGAGAACCTTGAGAATAGGTGCCCACTTCTGACCAATCTCGCTGACGGGGTTGATGATGGCAGTGAAGAAAATGCTGGCTGTCTCAGGGTTGCCGACCGAGAAGGAAGTGTGCGTCGTGTTGAGGAGGTTGAATTGTGTAGTGCGGATCATCGGAGCAGACTCAAAGATTCCCTGAGGAAGATCAGAAATACCGGAAAGAGCAGTCACCGAAGTCAGTTTGGCAGCAGCCAGCGGTCCAGACACCTTGTCGCTGAGACCGAGCTCCTCGATCGCCTTGTAGACTGGCAGGAGGCGAGTGGTCCGCTCAGTGGTAAGGAACTGGGCAAAATCCTCCTTCTTGAACTCCTCGGCGGAGACAATAGGCCCAGCGACACGTCCGTTGAGAATGACATAGTTATCACCAGCGTTGATATTGATGCTGGCCAGGAAGTTGGAGAGGGCAGCATCGAATTCGCCGTCAGCTTCCGCAACTTCAGCTTCCAGGATGGTTTCCAGCTCGATGAGACGGTTGAGGCTGGCGAGCTCATCCTGGTGCTTCTTGAGGGCTTGGTTCAACCCAGATGGAGAAGAAAGGTCCTTGGGGTTGTTCACAATATCGATGCGAGCACCGGGATATTCCTTACGGAACTGCGTGGCGAAGAAAAGGAGCTTCTGGCCGTCAAGGCTCTTCAGGTCGGCGACAACAGTGAGCGCAGCCCAGTCTTCCTTGATCGACTCTGTATCAGCCTCGATCACGGGCACCTTGTCAAAGAGCGCAGCATTCTCAGAGTACACCTTGTTGACATTGAGCATAGTAATGTCTTTGGGATCCTCGGGGAAGATAAAGGTGTTGCGCCTAGTAATGGAATTGTCGAGGAAGATGCTGGGAATCCAGGTGTTTTCATCAGCACGCCCAAAGTATACCATCTGTTGGATTTGCTGCATATCAGCCATGAGCTTCTGGTTCATGACACTCAGCCACTGCTCGTCTCTGGGGATGGGGAAGCCGTCAAAAAAGACTGGAGGAATCTCGGTGTCTGCGCGAAGTCTTTCTGTCCAGTGCTTGGCAAGATGAATCTGCTTCTCGTGGTGCTCCGAGGTAAAGATGTCGGTGAACGGCAAGGGGTTCGATTCGGCACGGGGAGTGCGGTCCTTGATTGTCTGCTGGAACACCTTTTGGTCGGGCTTTGACGTCTTCTTCAGCTCGAGGGACTTTTCAAGGTAAGTGGCGACCGCTGCGATACCATAGTTCTCGAGCAGATGATAGACCACCTTCGCCTGGTCTATAGCTTCTCCCGTGGGAGTCAGTGGCACCAAACCGAAACGCACAGGGATGAGTCTCTTCATAAAACCCAACAGTTGTTCAGTAACGAGGGTGACGTCCTCGACCTTGGTGAAGTCAACAGGCATGACCAAGTTGAAGATGTCCTTGCGGACGTGGGGAAGACCGCCACCAAAATGCTGGAGAAGAGTCCAAATACTGCCTGAGAAGTCCTTGTACCTCTTGTCCTTTTCAAGATTGTTGAGCCAGACAATCACCTTGCCCTCCTCAATCTCGTCACGCCAATCGAACCTCCGAGTCTCGTCATCCCCAGATCGTGCTTCGGCCACTTCGTTGTGTCCAAGCAGGGAAATGGCTTGTTGACCGGTGAGACCAAGGTCGAGGACTCCGTTGATGAGCTTACGCTCTCGGGTGAGCATGTCAATCAAGCCGAATGGCTGGATTTGGCGATCAATGAGCTGAACACCATTCATCCAAAGGACGTTGACACCTTCGGGAACCAACACCTGACGATTTGCTTCGTGTTCTTTTACAAAGTCTTCAGAGACATTCTGGGAGGCAAGAGAGGTAGAATACTTGGGGAAATCCTGTGTGAGCTTAATGAGGGTCTCAAAAGGCTCATCACTCTTCATGATAAAGGACGCAGCCTTCAAAGCCAGGGGCGACAATTCCGACTTCTCCAGGGGCTTGATATCGGTGATCTCTTCCTCGTCATCCAAAACAACCTCAGAACCCAAGGGTTTTTGTGCCTCATCCGCTGGTTTCGCGGCACCAGTATCTCTGTCGTCAATGACGATATAATCTGTCCTCTTGAGGTTGAGGCTCACTCCGTAGCCGTTGACAGAGAGCGCCTCCTCGGGATGGGCAGGGCTTCTCTTGTATCTGATGCGGTATGAGCCCTCTCCCTTTTGGGCAATAGCCGCGGCTGCCTCATGATATTTGGCAAAGCTTGGGGATGTGATGTCGGCATAGAGAATAATATCCTTGGCACCAGATCCGATCTTGTGGTCGAATGGCAGTATCCTGTCCTGAGAATTCTTGACGTCTCCATGCGCCGTGTCGAGAGAAGGAGTGCAGTATTGCGTCCCGTCAACCAGAAACCATTGCGCGCATCCCTCCTGATCCTCTACCAACGATGATTCCACCGCCGTGGAGTAATACTGATAATGCGCCTCGATTCTTGGGGCAGCGGTTCGCATGGAAAGAGCCAGCTTGAACGTGGACAAAGCCTCGGCGTCCATATGTCCATCATCTCGGAGGACCTTGACGAATTTCTCGTATAAAGTTTTGTCTGTTTTCGCATCGGCAAAGTCACCCTTTGCGATTCGGTCGAGGAGGGCAAAGTAGGCTGTCGCATTATCGGGAGCTGCTGTTTCACTGATTCCTGTGAGCTGGACTGAGCTCTCAATTGACAAGAAAAAAAGACTACCTACAGTAGCTCAACCAAATAAGGAGGAGAGGGGAATGCTGCCTTGAGGCCGACATTCACAGATGGTGATGCCACAACGTGGGGAAGACATGTTGCAAGAATGGCTGCAAGGCCCAGAGGAAGCTGGGATAGCCGGATCATTGTGTTAACAGCTGCCCAAGGGCACCGTCACAGTTCGAGCAATTGCGCCGTGTCAAATTCAGTGTTTAGTTTTCGGATTCGCTGGCGAAATATACCAATATATGTCAAGATGTTCAGACGGTGTGAACCGGCTCGAGTTTCAGGACGACCCCCTCCACCAGAACGCACCCCGGCCTCTAAATGCCACGCTGGCCACCAGAGATCAGACAGACGAAGTTTCCAAATACAAAATGGAA